GGGACTATAAATAGCTCCTGTTAACAACCTTGCTCCTGAAAGTCCTAGGACATCACTGTTGGTTCATTTTCTCATAAATACTCTCAGAATTATGGATTGGAATTTTCAAAACCCATGCAACATGAGAGAGGACTAGAACCAAACACTTCATACCTTTTGTTTCTGTCTCCTGTTTCTCCTAAACGCAGTCCTGGTTTCTCCTAAACGATGCAACTGCTGGCTGAGACTGTACTTCATTTTCCGAACGCCTCAAGTGGACTACCCAAAACTCCACTTGCACAAGGAAGAGCTCTCAGGGATCTAACTCCTCTCAGCACACACTCAGCATTCCCTGCAAACTGCCACAGTGACTACGTGAGAGGAGGCAGCTACCGCATGAGGCTGGAAAGCAGCACAAGCAGAGGTATGGGGCTCACAGGGGTGTCTCAGAAGCGGTGCCTGGCTTACAGCACAGCCAAAGTTGGGCCATGTTGAGGTACAACACCATATTAGAGCCAAAAAGGAAAAACTCTGTTGGCTTTGCAAACTCATGCAGTATTGAAAAGAATGAGAAAAACAAATTCTTTACTATTTATGTTAAAATATTTTGCCATTTCATGATAACTTTTAAAAGGGGAAAAGACATGTCTTCTCTTACATAAAAGTACTAGATGAAGCCTGAAAGCCGTAACTCTCAAAAAATAAAGATTCATGCTCCCTTTCACTTGAAACAGTATATAAAGCCCTCCTGTTGACAGCAAGGTCTGCTAGGAACCTCAAACGCCTCTCACTGTTTTGGTTTTATTCTCCCTATTTCCTACTCATTTCAGAGGAAAAAAATACCAAAAATTAATACATGTTTTCTCTTTCTCTCTTTAGAAAAACTTCTCTATGATTCTATCTAGCAAAATACACGGCACAAAGCTCAATGTATCTGATCTGGTTTTTCTTTTGTTTAAAGTTGTATATATGGTTAACTTAACAAGAGATCTAAGCACATGCAAATTATTGACCTGAGTTTTGACAAGAGAGAGATGACACTTCTGTTTTGATGGGGCAATTAAAAAAGGCCATTCTAACAGTAACTCTTCAGATGCTTGCTCAATTGAAATACTGTTTCTCACTTTTATATAGACATTACATCACTTCTAGATCTGTACAGAAGGGATACAAGTGTGCTTCCTTAAAGAACATATACATAAGGATTTCTGTTTTCTGAAATTCTGGTAATGCTTGTAAGACTCCCGAGAACATGAAAGAAAGAAAATATAGCTATGCACTTTGTAAGGTGTGGTCTGGGTTTTGTGTCGGGGGTTTTTTTTAAGTAATTTCAGACATTGTTTCAGTATTTACCTGAAACATTTTACAAGTTAACAGAGAACCAGGTGGAAGAATCAGGTGGATGTTATGCTAAGTAAGCTGTAATTCAAACCTGGCTCAGCTGAAAGCAGATCTGATAGATCATTCTAATTCTATGCAATTATCACCTAGCCATATATTCAGCACTTCAAAAGCATCAATGCAGCACTTTAAAATTTGTAAATTAAGTAAGTTCGTTTTAAAGATTAAAACTTCCAACCGAGCCATATGTTATCCAAAGAACTTAAAACACTATTATTGTCATCCTACTTTAGATGCAATTGAGCAGATGAGAGGGCTGACACGTGCAATGGCATTTTTCAGACATTGTTAAACTTTCACTCCAAATGGCTTTTGTTTCTTCACCTACTTATACGGAAAAGCTGAATTTCAAAGGCAATTTCAAAAATATTTCCAAATCACAGCTGAAAATTTCAATACAACTAAATGACTACAGTAACCTCATCACTATGTAAAAATAGGTGAAAAAGTGATTCCATGGCAGCTACAATAAAAATAATCCCTATTTATTTTGGGTACATGAACATCACTAATAGACAAGAGATACTGTTAAAATAGACTAACTGATCATCTTTGTGGCTCTTTCATTATGTTGGTGGCAAAGTCGCCTACCACAGCAAACTCGACATAGCATTTATACTGGTTCACCTTATTGAACAAAGCAAAGTTGTTTCTGCTGACTTTTCTTCTTCTTTAGATACCTATCTGAAATAGAGAACCTGATTTGCAAAGGTGAACCTCATTGCTTCTCACTAGACATGCATGCAGTTTGTTTTGCTGGATTTTTTAGATATTTGTACTTAATACTTTGAAAATGTTTGTATATATTACTGGTTTCCCTATCCATATCAGTCCACTTTAGATCACGGAGACAGAGATGTTACGTAACACAGAAAATAAATCACAAAGGAAAAGCACATACTAGTGAAACACAAGCTTTCCCTTGTGCTTTCCATCTCAAGCCTGACCACATTCAGGAAGACATTCTAGAAATCTAAAGGCTGTTTAATCCACTTCCCTCTCAACTCTTTAGCTTTGAATCAGTCAGTAAGACTGCCGAGAAGTATGACCCGCTATATATTAAAAAGGAACCGATTCAACTGTATTTGCTTCACAGCAACATGAACATACAGCTAATGTATGAACATACAGCTAATGTCTATCCAAAACTTTGCAGAAAGATACAATAGAAGCAGCAGGCAAAAGACAAGGCTTATTTTTCACACCTCAATGTTTTTACACTCAATCTTGAATGCATCCCCAATTTTAAAAGTAAAATAACTATTTTTTTAATGACACAAACTTCACGATCTCTTACTCTGGTCAATGTTACCTTCACTTTCAACATCAATAAGCACAGCACCACATACAACTCACAAAAACGTTCATAAGATCTAAATATAATTCCAATGTGTTACAATTGTATTTTCGTAGTCGTAGGCATATATAGTCTATATGCTATCTAGCAGTCTTAATACATTTGCATGTGGAAAACATGAGTTTATTTTCCCTATTCTGTCTGTCAAAAAAATATTTTTTGGGGAAAGAAAATGACAATAATAAATTAACCATTGGTTCAAGTTTCTAAGAAACTGCACCTTAGTAAATGTATCAAGTAAAAATCATGCATTGCGTGATTTATATTACTGGGGAGAGTTCAACAACTTGTTAAATCTAAACAACAATCTACTAATACAGTATTCACTGTTCAAATTACCTGCTCATCAAGTAAAGATTTTTGGTAGAAGTGTACTGCTCAAAAGAAAAAGAAAGAAAAAAAAGAAGAAAAAAGCAAAGAAAGAAAAAAAAAAAGAAAAAAAGGCAGAGACAAAACTCACTCCCAAAACAGGGGATTTAAGGTTTAACTGTCAAATGTAAGATGAAGAGTATGTTTATCGATTAATAGTTTAAAGCCTTTTTTAATCACTGAAGCAGGAATATGTAGGGTTGGTTTACTGATGTAAATCTTCTGGTCCAAATTCAAATAGAATTAACTAAAAATGCTACTTTAAAACTAAAATAAGAGTTTTAAAATGGAAATGCTAATTCATAAACCATGAAATTATTAGTGCAAGACTGTGTTTCTTACCTCTTCTGTATCAGAACAGTGAACCTCTAAGTCAATATAAAGCAAAGTTGAAGGTCCAGCATTCTACATTGAGTATGTCACATCATAGTACTAAACCAAGTAGATTTTAAATCTTCTGCACTCCAAAGTAATCCTCCTTTTCCTCCCTGACCTGATGTACACTACAATTTTACAGCTAAATCTACAATTTTACAGTAATGTTATAATCTTGAAGAAAAATGCAAAGAGCAATGAGCTTTGTCAACTGGTAAGTCAAGTGGCTTATATTTAAAGCACGCAATACAATAATAATCATAAAGTGATAAATCCTTCCAAATTGTCTGCAGTGAGAGCCTTATCCTGATCCCACCAAAGATAACGTAACCTCACCTACTGCAATGGAAATTATGGATTACTGAAAATATCTTCTTTATATCTTAAAAAAGGGGTTAATGAATCAAAATAATTGACACTCCATGTGACAGAGGACTCCTCAAGAGAGTACAAAAGAATATGAAGTAAAGCTGAATACATTCAGTATACAAGGCAGCTAGTAAGAAACAAACAGTTTCAATTTACAAGTACCAATCTCAAAAGCAATGCCAAGAGTAGCACCTGCAAGACAATTAAGAGGAGCATGTTCTCTCCATGCTGCTATTAGCAAATATAACACTCCAGTGCTGTAAGAAAGTTTTTGTGCAAAACCGGATGGGTGCTTGCAAAGCTCTTTGATCCAAATACTGTGGGTTTTTTATTTGCTTATCTAATAATACTTGAATGTTGCTAGGTCTACTCTTAAAGCTGTTTCAGAAAAATCTAGAGATCAGAATGAGCAATTCTAATTATTCAAAATAAAGAAATTTATCTTGCAATGAATTTTTGTTCAACACTGAAATATCGCTGCCTCTGCATTCTGAGGTTTCTATTTCAAAAACTGAAAAATGCCTGAGCCTCCAACATGAGAAGCAAAGTAGTTTTCTATTTCACTTTAGATATAATCATTATTTGAAAACTATTTTAAATCAGTTATTCACATTATAAGTGAATGTACCCTCTTTTCTTTTTAAGGTGTGATGTGTCAATTCTTTTCTAAAGAAAAAATAAAATCCTTTCTTCTATTGTTTCATAAAAAAACCCACAACCCTCAACTCTACACAGAACATAGTGGTGCTTTTCTTGTGTACAAGGTTGCATACAGTGAAAGGCTTGCATTTCAGTCATTGATTACATGCCACAGGCTTTCAGCTAGAAGTGCAATTACCAGGTTTATGTCTTAAAATCCGCAAAAATTATTCTGAATTCCAGCGAGTGACACTAACATCAGTATCGCCAAATAAAACTTGATTGTTCAGCCCTGCAATTACTTTTGCAACAGCACAACTACCCTGAACATCAAATAATTATTATGCTATTTTAAATGGATAAGGAAACAAGACCTGGAAGACTATAAAGTCCCCTACAAACTCTATCTCAAATATTACAATACAAGATATAATTACTTACATTATTACCTATAATTAGAAATGTATTCTTCAAAGATTAGTGACTGTAATGAAAGCATGTGGCTACTCACCTACAGTATACCAACTAGCATCTGTCAACTTGCTGATAACAGCTTCTTGAAAGGATCCATCAGGCATTTTGGTTTCAACCATTGCACCAACCTGCAAAAAGGAGTATCTCAAGGTTACATGTAATCCCAAACCCATATAATGGAGAAAAACACACTGAGGCATTAATTCTTCCAGCAAGCTAGATTTATTTTTTTAAGGAATCATTTTAGCTAAACGTTACTTCGCAAAATTTAATTACTTAGCTAGTAAGAACAAAGGTCCTTAAGCATGAACGCTGAACTGCAAGTAGACAGTAAAGCAGTAAGAAACCCAGAACATCTAATTTCAGCATGACTTACATCATCACAAGAAATAATAGAAGGCTAATTGGAGATAAATATTCAAATATTCAATCAAAGTAATTATTACTGATGTGCATGCAATTACTATTTCTTATACTTTAAACATTGTTATACTGTCAGCCAGATCAGAATTTCAGTAGCAGACTACAACATGCATTGGTGTTCTTGCAGTAGCTACAGAGAAAAGACAAATACAAAAACGTTGATCTCTAAAGAGTTCTATTTGCATTCAGTGATTTATAATGCAGCTATATAAAGAAGCAGACAGCTGTTACATATACAAATACAAATCAACACATATTTGATATAAAATACATAAAGTATTTTAAAACATATTTGGAGCAATCGTATTTACTGTTGTCTAACAGGCTTGAACTTAGCTTTGTTATCAAGTTCTCCGTTACTTATAAGAAGTTTAAAAGTTTCATTACTTATGAAAAGTTCTGTATCTTATAAGAAGATACAAAAATCATTATGCATGCAAAACTGTTTGCATATAAAGTATACTACATGGAGAAGCATAAACTGCCTCTAAAAACTGCAAGAGTTACGACTAATTACTCAGAATCAATCTAATCTAAAGCAATAAGCCTCTTCCTGTTGATTTAAACTCTTTAGAACAGGTACTCACATAAACAGCATCAAAAAGTAGAATTTTACAAATCAATTGTGTGATTTAAAAAAAAAGGCATGCAATATACATACTCTTAAAGGTCCTTTCACTTGGTCATCCTGCACTAACTGAGTTGAGTTATCCCCCTTCAGGACCACCTGAAAGATATTCATAAACATTTTTTTATATATATATATATC